GCTGGGGCTGCCCGGAACCCTGCCCGGGGGTCATGCCCGGCCGGGCACCCGGGGGTCATGCCCGGGCGTGTACCCGGGCAGAAGTTGGGTGCCCGGGCGCCCGGGAAAACAGCCTAGGATGTGACCCTGAGGCAAACGTTGTTCAGTTTATTGTTCTGCATAACATAGTGCGAGGCATAAGGCCTCGATAAGCCCTACTGGGTCCCTATCTGCAACAGCGTCGGCCGCCCTAAGTGAAGGCAGGCTTGACAGACCACAAGAGGCCTATTTTGGACTACTTCGCAAAATTCAGGCAGTTGCGCAGCGCCAGTTGATTGGAAGCGCCCAGGCCCTGGCCTCCGTTATGAAATGCATCTGAGTCAGGCCCTGGGCGAGATACGCAGCATGGACCCAACTCAGGCTGCGGGCAGTTGGGCACCTGTAACTACCGCAGGCCCTCGGCCTGTTTCCTTTGGGCCCTACCGGAAGCTTCTGGGCCGAGGCCCAGTACCGCAGCACGGCACGCAACGGCAGGCCACTTCAATATAGAGAAGGGCCTGCCCCCGCATTGGACATTCGGGCACTGGCTGCATTGTGCGCAAGCGCTGCTGCGCTATTGCTGGCCAGCGCTCACGCGCTCACAGGCGAGCTGGAAGGAGCAGGCAGCCATAGCCAAGCTGCACTGCTGTTTGCTGGATGGGGCGCATGGTGGTCCTTGGGTGCATGTGGCATCTGTGAGTTGGGGAACGAGGTTGTGAGTGATACGAGAGACATACCAGGTGCTTGAAGCGTACGGCATTGGCCGAGATCTGCTCGTACTTCGGGGAGCTGTTGATGTCATCAGCGGCATTGTAGTCTAGGCTAGATAGGATCTGCCATTTGTAGTCTGGGCGCCGAGCGCCAGATAGGATATCAACAGTGGTTCTTCGTTGATGATGATGAGACCATACCAGAATTGGCAATTATGAGCTTTTGTTGTGTTCTTATTTGGTGGAACTCGTGATGCAATTCTGCTATTGGTTCGAGATCATGACTATCTGGTCTTGTGTGTATGATGCTGTTTGGTTTCTGAATTCGCTATTG